TTAGGAGCTAAGCTGTTGCTTTTCAGACAGATTTCCAAGTTCTTCATAAATTTATGAACAATTAACTCTGTTTCTTGTAACAGGGCGCATCAGTCCTTTCTCTGTCAGAGCTGTCCAAGACTCCCCTCCAAAATGGTCTTTCCACCCCTCCGCTTCCCTCATCAGAGGCTTCCAGTACCCGTCTCTCTCCTCCCAATGTTTCTGCTCTCTTGGATATTTCTCTTCCTGGACCACCCGAAGATGTGCTTTCTCAAGGAGAACCTGCCACTCAAATCAGTGATTCTATCATTGAAATAGCTATCAGCTCTGGTCAATACAGTAAGTCTGAGCTTAGCTAAAGTCTTCCTATTAACTTAAAAAAAAAATCCCTGTCATCTTACATGTCAGCAGAAACTTTTCCAGCGAACAGTTCTTGTTTGTTTGTTTGTTTTTTTTAATATCTATTGAAAATAAAATTATGTGCCTAGCATTTATTTTCTAGCATATATAGGTGGATTTTGTTGTTGTGTTTGTTTAATTTTTTTCCTTTCTAAACATAAATTGGTGCAGTGTCCTCTAACTTCACCGCATTGACTGAATCAGTGATTCCTGACATTGGCTTACAGGTGAAGGTGTTTCTCTCTCTCCTGCAAAGCTGAATGGCAGTGACAGCTCCAAAAGTCTTCCGTCCCCATCCAGTAGTCCTCAACAGAACTGGATTGCATCTCCCAGCCATGATCCCCAGTGGTACCCCAATGACTCCACAGACTCGTCTCTCAGCAGCTTGTTTTGTAAGTGTCAGTATGCAGAGAACTGCAACAAAAAAGCACTTCCCTTTCAAAAAACAAAACAACAAAAAAAAAACCAAAATACACTGTTTATTAGAATCCTTTGGAAAGTGTAAACCTACTGGGACGTCTGTAGAATTCTTCCCTTACTTGCTTTCATTTCAGCAGTGTTGCCTTGAATACATTTTCTTTCTCTTTACAAGTCTGTTCCTGAAAAGGTCCTGTTGCTAGATTGGGGCCCATACCTTGGGACAAATAATTCCTTGGCAGTTCTTTGTGGTCTCTTTGGAGCCTGACTCATCAGTTAGGTTGAGGTATTTTCGCTGTTTTGCCAAAATGAAAAGATGCCCTTGGCTCTGCTGTTGGAAAAATAGGCTTCGTTATGTGCTTCGTGAGCATAATCTCAAAAACGTGAGATCTCGGAGTTTGGGGTTTGGTTGGTGGGTTTGTTTGGATTTTTTTTAATTAATATTTATGGGGCAGGTGTAATGAGTCTCTGCACTCTTAGCAGTGTGCATTGGTGTTCAGGCTGGTAACACATAATTTTTAAGAGATAGAAGAACTAGATATCTGTCCCCCATTTTCTGTGTCCGTGTCCTTTATCCTCCCAATTGCAAACATTCAGTGCATTGACTTACTGATGTGCCTGGTTTTTTATAGCAAGTTTCATCTCCCCTGAGAAGGGACGAAAAATGCTGCCAACTCCTGTTGGGACTGCCAGTGGCACCTCCTTATTGGGACCCAGCCTTCTGGATGGAAACTCACGGGACTCTTTTGTGTCACGATCTCTGGCAGATGTAGCAGAGGTATGTCATCAAATTACATTCAGCTGTCTGCTTCCTTTCTTACTGCAGTGTTACTGTGTGTTGTCCACCATACCATCCTGAGATACTTATGGCAAAGATGCTTTGACATCTGCACTTGAGCTTAGTAGAACAGGGCTACAGTCTTAATGGAAAGATGTAAAATGACTTGAGCTGGTGCAAGAAGCTGTTGTGAGCATCTTTGACCCAGGTTCTTTTTGCTGGGGGAGATCATGTTTACCTTGTTGGGCATGCCTTTGTTTTGACAGAGTTGTAATCCTTCTGTTTTCTGTGTCCTGCTTTGTAGACCAGGAATTGAAAATACTAAGGATGAGAGAAAGGTTAATACTGATGCAACTACACTACAGTTGGAGGACTGGTAGGAAAAAATACACAGGTCCAGAGGAAGAAGCAGGAAATGGCTAATACTAAGTTACCCGAGAGAATGGCAGAAGGTCCTATGCTGCTGAGTTATTTTCTCTGTTAGTAGAATTACCCTTCTGTTTTGAAATCTTCAGAAGGGGTAAAGTGAAGACCAGCAGTTATTAAGGCTTTGATACGCTTGAGGACAGAGCTTTCTTTCAGAGGGACAGACAGACTGGAGGAATGAGAGCTGCAGGAACATTACGGAATTCAGTGAGGACAAATGCAAAGTCCTGCCCCGGGGAAGGAATAACCCCAACAGCAATACAGGCTGGAGCCTGACTGTTTAGGAAACGGCTCTGCTGAGAAGTACCTGGGCACCTTGATAGACAGCAAACTGAACACGAGCCAGGATGTTCTGTGGCAGCTAAGAAGAACCAACAGCATCGTGGGATGTTTTAACAGGAGCATAGCCAGTAGATTGAACAAAGTGATGACTATCCCACTCAACAGCTATTAGGCCACGTCTAGAATATTGTGACCAGTTTTGAGCACCTGATACAGGAAAGACATAGATAAACTGGAGGAAGTTTAGCAGGGGGCCACCAAGACGATTAGGGGGCTGAAGCACCTGTTTGTAAGGAAAGGCTGACCATACTGGGTTTGTTCAACCTGGAGAAGGCTTCAGGGCGGGAGGGACCCAACCGCCCACCAGTACTTGTGGGGAGGTCATCAAGAAGATGTAGCCAGCCCCTTCACAGAGTGGTGATGCATGGTGGGAGGAAGAGTCAAAAGCTGAATTGAGAAAGGTTCTGACTACGTATAAAGAAAAACTTTTTCATCCTGAGGACAGTCAGGCAGGGCAACAGGTTGCCCACAGATGTTGTGCAGTTGTGCATTGTCTGTCTTCAGAGCTTTTCAAGACTAACATCCATAAAGCTCTGAATAAGCTGGTCTGTCCTCCTAGGTGACCCTGCTTTGAGCAGGAGAGTGAACTAGAGGCCTCTTAGGTCCCCTCCAGTCTTAATTACCCGACAGTTTACATCATGTACATTGTAACTTTGTGGGAGCTTGCCCTGATGGAAGGAAAACGTCATTCCTCCATTGCCCTTTGGATTTGGATAAGGAGGTTCTGTACAGACGTTGTAGCCGGAAGCTGCAGCAAGCTCATGCTGTTTTAATGTGCCCTTGGCAGCTTCAGACTGCAAACACAGCTCCACTTCCTGGCATAAATACGAAGATTCTGCTTACTTGGTGGTGAAAATCTGCCAGGGTGTGTGTTCATTAAAGGAATATGTGATAATTTATTTGTGTGGATTTAAAGAAATGTTGCAGCCCTTGATCTTACAAAGTGTCTTCAGAAAACAATGGGGTAAGCCACCATTTTAGGCACACCAGAGCAGCTGTTGTGGCAGACGTGGGTTTGTGTGGGAATCTTCAGAGGAAGCAAGTATCATTTAAAAGTGTCTTTAATGATGGGAGAATTTTGAAAGGCCTTTTATTAAGTGTCCTGCAGAATCAAGTTTTATTTACAAATGCAGGTATTATGTTAGAGGTAGTATCTATAGAGTTTTGGTACAGCGCATCTACTAGTGCACCTTAATGCTGAATTACAGATAGGCAGGTAAGGCCCATTGAGATTATAGTCTACTGAAAGGAGAATTGGTCCTGTTTTAGCCAAACCAGGACACAACCTAAACAATTCTGTGATTCTGTGAAATTTCCACTGACGTGTACCTCTTGTTTTCTCTTGTATTTCTTCTAGGTGGTGGATTCCCAGCTGGCTTGCATGATGAATGAGAACAGTATAGATTACATATCTCGTTTTAATGACCTTGCCCAGGAACTATCAATACCTGAGCCAACCCGCAGGGAAATTCTGTTTGATGGAGGAGGTGGTGGTCCCCCAATTGGGGATCTCTCACAGTGAGTGTGTGAGACCAGCAGGCTGGTGTAGACCGTTCAGCTAAAGTTGGAGCTTGCAGCACTGGATCATGGCAAGGGCAGGTTGTAGAGAAGCAGCTGAGGCTCAGTTGTCCCTGTCTTGTGCGCTGTTTTCTAAAAGAGAAGCATTATCTTCAGAGGTCTGAAGAAGTACCAGCAAGTCCTGGAATGTGCAATATAGTGGGAACAACAAAACATGGAATAGTATTATAGGAAATGGTGTGTCCCCTGCATCAGTGATACAAGAGGGCAGGTTTATGGGACAGTCCTGGACTTGTACTTTGGAATGGCCTAAGCAAGAAGCTCAAGCAGGGAAGGGTATTGCCAGAAGCTCCCCTACGTGAATTCTTTTTTGCGTAGTGATCAGAATGCCATGATTTGGGATCCACATAGAAGTTGTGGAGGATGAAGGGTGGGGGTGGGTATGGGAATCATTTTGCATCGTGACGTGTCCTAGTTGGCACTCTCTTAATCAGTCAGTCAAACTGAAGTTTCTTGCACTCTCTTCAAAGGCGCTGCGACCCTGCGATGCTTCGTTTTATTAGACCATTCTGTTTCTTTGGCTATGTTTTGTTGTCTGACCATTCCAGCAGGGGCACATACCTGCTTTCTTGTTTTGCAGGGGAGCTCTCATTCACCCTACTCCCAGACTGCATGGATCCTTGGGGAGTTTCCTCTATTTTTAAACCCCATCACATGTCACAATCATCATCATCCTGACTGCACTTGTATTCTCCACCTTTGAGATTCTTCATCACATTGCACAGTTCATCCCATTAGTGGGAGAGTGCTTTCTTGCTTTCCCTGAAGAACGATCACGTTTTAAGTCAGGAAACACTGCAAAAGACCTTATTGGAGTCACTATGAAAGCTTTGTCATAATTTGTCTTGGCTTTGCTGGAAACCTGTATATATTGCCATCTTTCTTCACAAAAACTGAGGATTTACCTGGGAGAGGAAATAGGAAAGAATATTGTAACGTATAGGAACAAATAATATGTTAACGCTAAAGTTGTTGAGATCTGGTTTGTGTCATGAAGAGGAGAGGTGTCAAGTCCTAGCTTAATCCCTTAGTCCTTCCTTATTTCCTCCTTGTTCTGTGAATTCCAGGTGCTCTGTGGTAGCTCAGGGCATCATTTTTCATTATAGTCACTCCCAGGCACTAGTGGATCTGGTACTCCCTCTAATAAATCCCTATGCATTCAATGTAGTTGTTTTAATATTTGAAAGACCCAGATCCAGATACCGGCGGTTCAAAGGAATATAAAGTTACTTTCTCTAGAGCGGATTGTCTGTTGGTTCTACCTTTATAACTCAGGAGACTTTTCCTATTTCCTTTCCTACAGGTCATGAGAGAGAATACCTTCATTGTCCCCCTTTTTTAAGCACTTGTCTGCTTCTCCAGTAAGAGGATGTCCCTTGGCTATTTTAAGTAGCTCTGAATTTATCCAAGGGGCTAGTCCTATGTAAACCTCAACTTTATATTACTAATAAACAAACAAAACTTCTCCATCTCTTAGGCTATTATCAGGGGTTCATTTTCCCAACTTGCACTATACTTGGTGGATGTCGTTCTACCTGCCTTTAGCTACTTTTACAAGGCATTTAACTGGGAGTTTCTTCTTGTAACTTTGCTCACGATGCACTGATTGGATTTGCTGTTTTCCCAGTCACTTTACCCTGCTTTATATAGGTGATTTTTGTTTTTAACCGCTATATAGTTTGCCTTATGCTTTCTGTCATTAAGAGAAAATGTAACGATGCAGCTTTTGTGTCACCCAGAGCAACCTTGCTGATGTCACTCAAAAACTGGTGAGATTTGGATGACATTCCAAGAGCCCAGGTATCAGGTTGCTACATTCTCCTCTTTGACATAGGAAGCATACAGATGTGTAAAACCAGCATTAGTACCATTGGATGTTCCCGACAGGGAGGCAAACCTCTATTACTAGCAAGAAAATGATGATGACTAGAAGAACAGAGAATTTTCGTACCTGTGGGCTAACTTCCTATTCTGACTGCATGTCAGATATTAAGACTTTCTGTCATTATTTCTCTTTCATTATTCTTACAGAGCCTTGTTTGAGAATTCTGATGCAATTATCAGGAAATCGTGTAAACCTAGCATATAAAAAGTTGAAGGCTGTCAGAAAAATGAATGCTGTGGACTGTATCATTCTGAGCATTCAGTCTTGGTATGGAGAGGATACCCATTAATCTCAAGAGTCGCTCCCTCTAAAACTTTTAAGTTAAGTTAACTTTACTTTTCTCTTGATTTTTGGCTTCTTAGACTGGTAATGCTGATTATGCTGCACCTCCAAAAATCCTTTTGACTTGCAGGACAAAAGTAGAGGGCTCCTACTGTGGCTATGGATTACAGGTCATGCAGGAGGAGATGTGATACGTTCTAATCAAGTACTGTATTAAAAAAACTGAACTCTCATTCTTCAACTTCTAAATATTGAAAGACCAGCTGGATGGTCTCCAGTGTATTTAGGTAGCTTGACAAACATTACTTTACCCATGCTGGTAATGGAGTGGGAATGTTTACACTGGTTTTGACTCTTAGGTTGCCTACAATAAGTGCCAGTGTTGCTGCCCCTATATGGCACAGCATTTTGTCAAGATCCGTGAAGACTTTCTGCCGTTGGATACGGGGGGCTGTCAGGTTGCCCTCTGTCAGCCCATTCAGTTGCCATAGGGGAGTAACAGAGTTGCAGAACGAAGTCAGCATAGTGGCTATTTTTAATGATGCCACGAGATCAGAAAACTTTAATATCCTGGAAGTAGACTTGGACCACCAAGTAATAACAAAGTGGAAATGATAGAGATCAGTTAGGCACTCAGAACTTTGTGGTTAGAAATGTGTTTGGTGTCAGCCTCTTAAAAGTTGTCATTACGAAGCAGAATTTGATTTCAGAAATGTAATGCTTTGCAAACTGCAGTTTAATAATAAAGCCCTTTCAGGACAAGTCAGTCTTATCAGGGAAAAACGTGAAAATAACTTAGATCATTGTTGTAATTTTGAGTTGATGCAGAATTTGTTATTATGTGAAGGGTCACTTAAACACACCTCTGATTCCACTAGCTCTAGATTTTAGGTGGATGTGCTTTAGAATACTAATCATCATCAGTTTGTGCCTAAGACTGCTAAGCAAAAAATTGGGCGGGGGGGGGTAGGGATGTATATATACACACAAACAGATACATATATATACGCACATACATATATGTGTGCTTATGTGTGTGTGTATATATTTCTTGTAAAACACAAAACTTTTTGAATTTTAATTATTTCACCTTCCCCAACAGAAGTAACAGAATCCGTACGTGTAACCACGTCAGCCTATCCTAAGCAAACGTTCAAGCAAGTTATACTGAAATGCAGACAGGATTAGTTTTGAGGTAAATGTGACTTTGTTATCTTAATAGCTTCTTGGGGCACTGTAAGGTGGTTGGAGAGGACAAATGGGACACTAAGAGCGTCCAGTTCTAGTATTAATTGCTCTAGGCTTTCCCCATGTTGATATAGTGACTATATATAATAAGGAAGTTCTGAGTAGCTCAGCAAGGTGAATGGCAGAAAATTCAGTATTTGTCATCATAGTCTGGGTGAAAAGCAGTACTACATCCTAAGAATTAGATGTACCCGTGTGTGCATGTGTGCGCTAACTGGGTTTTCTGCTGGGTGTTGCATCCTGATTACCCACACAATTCATTTTATCCTTTATCACTAAATCTACTAAGCATAGGAATACTAATTGTTTTTAATATGGCATTGTTAAGCCTTTTTTTGACACCCTTCTTTATATTTCTAAATTCAATTAAATGGCTTGGGTCAAATCTAATCTATAAAGACATCTCATTTACTGACTCCACAGATCCCAGAGTGGAAATTAAGTTGAATTTTGTTTTTTTTTCACTCAGACTTCGGATGCATTTATAAGGAAAGTACTGCACTTTTTTTTTTTTTAACCTTTTCAAACCTTTGAATCTCTTAATTTCACAGCAATTTGTAAATGTTAACTAAGTGAAACCTTGGCAAGCACTACGGCAATAAGTTATCATTAATTACTGAGACATGATAACTGCTTTAGAGCTTATGGTTCTGGCAGCAAAATTTAATGCTGTTCCTTTTAATAATAGTTAAGCCATATCATCTAAGGTTTCTGGCTTGTTTGAGATGTGAATTTGTTTTATAGATTATAAATATACCTATATAGTGTATGTATAAAGCAGAATGCCTGTCCTTACTGATTATTTTTTGTACCATATTGTAAATTATATTATTTATTCTTTACCAATTTTGGAAAAAGGTGTTTTGGTTATTTAATATAATATACAAAAGCTGTTAAACTTCCTCTGTTTAAATTTCCAATTCAACTTGTAAAGCTGTTTTTATTCTTGTGCATAAATACATACTAATACTTGGTCTAACTTATGTCCAGTGTGTTACTTGCCATTCATGCTCTATCAGATTTTTCCATTTAACCTTTATTTACATAATAATGGTCCCTTGGGGGGGCCTAAAAATTTGTCCATAAGGCCAAGCCTTCCAAGGTGAGATTCTAGTTTCACTGAAATCAGTGGCATAACTTCCATTGACATCTCCCATCCCAGAATCTTCATGATTTTCACCATGGTGAGAGGAGGTGTTGGTTGTTTTGGGGTTTTTTTGCTTTACACCTTCTATTCCCAGTAGTTTCTGCTAATTGTGAGTGTCAGTAAACAGGTCAAACCAGAGGGCTGCCTGAGCCAAAAGTCCTGTCTTCATCCATGGTCACCAGTAACAAGGGGAAGAAAGAAAAAGAAAACAAACACACACACACCCCCCCCAAAAAAACCCCACCAAACAAATAAAACAAAAACCACAAAGCAAAAGGGTACAATAAAAAGGGTATTGTGTATCTCTCTTTTTTTTTTTTTCTACCTGCTAGCTTTTTATTTTTTTCCTTCACAGCTTCAGATAAGCAGGAAGTTAGAGGTAGAGGCTGTATTCAGGCCATCATGTTTTATATAGCCACCACCAGGAAATCTTTTTTTTACCCTGAGGACAATCAGGAAGAGGAACAGGTTGCCTGGAGAGGGTTGTGCGGTATCCATCTTCAGAGCTTTCCAAGACAAAACTGAATAAAGCCCAGAGGAAGCTGGTCTGATCTAGCTCACTCTGCTTTGAGCAAGAGGTTAGACCCTAGGCCTGATCTTCCTTTCAAGCTGAATTATCCTGTGATCTATATCATTAACTTAACTAATTCGTTTTTGTACACGTTTAGGATTTTGGTCTCTGCAATATACAATGGCAGCTTTAATTTTGCATTGAGAAAGTGCAAGAGTGTTCTTAAACTAGATTATAAGAAATTAATGTTTTAAAAAGCTCAACACAAACCTTATTAGTAATATCCTTTGATGCTTCCTTTCCATCCAAAGAGTGAGGACTCTACCACCTGCGTACTGAGAAAACTGGACTATATGAACA